TTAAGACGGGAAAGCTGGAAATATTTTCTCGACCCGAAAACAACTTACGAAAGTCTAATTTTATAAAGAATTAACAATTACATGTTATATTCAGTAACATATGATAGAATCTTTAGGTCCTTTTTTTTATCAAAACTTATTTCGTATGTTCTAAATAAACGGACATCGAAGCACCGTAATTAAGTAAAAATTAAATTTTGTCCTCGTGTGTGTCTGACATTCACGCAAAGCATAATTACAAGATTACATTACAAACTGAAGAAAACAGAAAAAGCCTTTAACTAATAAGTTATTAGTTAAAGAGACACCTAGCGTGTCTAATTGCATTGCTTATGGCTATTCCATGCCGGGTGGCTTCATGTGGTTCCTCGTCGCTTACAAAGGAAAGGAATGTATAAAGTAAAACTGTCGTACTTATACAGTATATTCATTCTGAACATGATTTCTTCCGCTTTGTAGACCGATAAATAATAAACCGGTCGAATAATTGAATTTCTCTGTATTGTTACTTGGTACAGTACTTTCATGTGAAACTTGTAATCATTGAACAAATGACGTTTATAAAGTGCTGCTTTAACACGTATTAGATCTAGTGTTTTAAACAAAACATTTTATTTTTTTGTGTATAAAATGTCTATTAAATATGCCTCTTTAAAACAGAGTTAAAAGAAAACGCTTAACAATCTTAATGTAAATAATTACCCACAAAATATATTATTAAAAATATTGGCATCAAATTAATCTTAATAAAATCTTTGTACAAAATGTAATTAATTAATTCATTAATTCAACTGATTTACACCATTGTTTCTCACTTTCTAACGAATCGTCGCCCCCTTCAATTAAACCGTTACGAAGTATCGCACCTTCACAACAAAATTCCGATGCCAACAGACAAGGCTCACACCAAATTCGTACTGAATTGAGTAGACTAGTGTCTAGTATAATGTTATTTGTTTAATTATTGGACGATATAACAAATAAAATATCTAATTATTCTTATTGTAGTGTTTTATCTCCTAGAAAATTGTTTTCGCTCTCCCAAAATATAAATTGTTACTAATCGCCACCTCAACACGGAAAAACGCTTACATGGAGAAACACTACCGTTGGTAAACACTGCCTTAAAGATATAAATACCACTTTTACTTTTTAGAACTCAACGTCCCACCTACGAGTTGATGGAACTGAAGGATCCACGATTTACATGTCGAGAAACACTGAACTACCCGAATTAAATTTTATAGAAAAAAATGAGTATTAATCATTTGTATATTAAAAAGTGAACAAAGCTTATTAACTCAAACTTTAAAAACTGAAAGTAATTTTAACAAGAAAAGAGAAATTTTAAGCTACTTAAACCCTTCGAACCGTAAAAGTGCAAGAGTCTATTTCTTGAGTTCGAACATTGTAAACAGACACATGGAAATAAGCTTTTGTGAAGTTTTACTTAGTCATCCAGTATAACAATTGAAACTTTGGGTACTAAATACTTTTAGTTTAAATATTCTAGAAAATTTATATATAAAAATTCAGTAAGAATATGTTCATTTGACACGAATATATGTGATGAAATAAGTACAAATAGCACACAAAAAATTAACTTATGTGATTTATCACGTTATTTTTTAAGCTCGCGATAGCAGCACAGCATCGCTTTCTTTCTTAATTTTTTATAAAAGAGACACATACGATAGTCAATAGCAAAACACGTAAAATCATTTTGTGCCACACATATAGAAACACTATAAACAGAAAACAATACAACTACTTACCGACTCTGCACCTCTGGACCCGCCATTTCTTCGGCTCGTTTTCGCACTGAACTCTCGAGTATGACGAAGAATAACGGAGGCAACATGCGCTTAGAAGCAGAAAGAAATCATCACGGTAATTGGCTGCAGATGTCACATGACTTTGATGTCACCTCCTCTCCGTAGGAGCACTTAATTTTTTAATCGCATTATCTTGTATATTCTGTATATCCGACATTAAAACTGGCTTTATACGTGTATTTATTGTGATCTCATACATATAAGTATCTAAGAAATTAGCATATAACTACGTGGACCATTACGTGCTTACGAATAACAGCATGACGTTGAAGTCACTTCACAATCAATTAAAACCTTTATAATTTACATTGTGGATAATGTGACCAGTGGTGTTGTCTTGGCACGTTAATTACATATTCATATTGCTGTTGTTGTTTCGAGTCCCGTTCGAGTAAATTTTGTTTCTTTTTACCCTGTAATTTTTTATTTTGTAATATTATCAGGTAGAAAAACTGAAAGTCGTAGGAAATGAATAAACAGCAAAGTTGCTTTCAAATTTCAAACTTTTACAATATTTATATTTATTAATAATCGCTTTGCTATGAGGTGTCATGTGAGAATTCAAACTGTATTTTTAAGCGAACTGTTGTAAATAATAATTGCAGTTACAGTCGACCCCCCATAACATGATAGATACGTTCCGTTCTTTATGAAATTGATGTTTTAGGAAATCTTTACAATCACAGCACGGCACGTGTGCAGTTTAAGGACTACGGCTGTTTTAAAGGTTTTCTTCCATTAAATTAATCGATTCTAGACTAATTCGACTCAACATTTCCAAAATACGTATATTTTTTTGGAAATAATCCATATAAACTATGCTATAAACAAAAAATTGTAGAATTACTTACCGGGTGTCGACTACGCTGTTGCTTAAGCTTGTTTTCTTCGTGGAGATTGTCATTGAATGGCGTTTGAGTGCTTCCTGATAAATTATTTTTTGTGCGAAAAATTTTTCGCCTTGATATAGGAATCCGAACTATAGGTACCCGTTATGGGGGTCGACTGTATATGATTTTTCTCCCGTATGAATTTGAAGATGCCTTAATAGATTGATCTGTTGTGAAAATTTGTGTTTGCAATGGTTGAAGGTAAAAGTTTTCTCTCTGGAATAGCTGCGAAAAATCCGGTTTTACCGCATAACTGGCAACAGAACGGCTTTTCTCCTGTGTGAATCCTCCTATGAATTTCAAAGTGTGACTTTCAACAGAATTATTTGTCACAACTTCCACAGAAAAACTTCCTTTTCTTCGACTTTGATACAGAAAATCTACGAAATACAAAATACTAAAGTTGAATATTAACATACAAAGTAATTCGTTTATGTGAATTACTGCAAAGAAATGCAGAAAAAGTTACTTCTGCATAGCTTGGAAGTAATTACTTCACAATATCAAATCCATTTGTTTAAATGTGAATATTTAGTTTCTTCTTCCAAACTTGTAATTTTTGGAGGAAATTCTACAAGAGAAATGTTGGCTGCCTTAAAGAAAAAAATGTAGAAATTTGACACTGAGAAGAAATAATTAACCTTTCTTGCCTACTTTTTATTTTAAAATCTTTAATTAAACATAAAAAATACTTAAAACTGAAAAGAACGAAAGAAATGTGTTAATTTTGAAGAAAAAGCTTCAAAGTTTAACTTCCTTTGTCTCGCCTTTCTGCGAAATTTCACACCGATGAGTCATTGTGTTTACAGCTGGATGACCTTGAGAACATCTGGTGTTGGATTTCCCCGGGCATTCTCATAGACGTCTCGGGAGGACACTGGTTTAAAGTAGTTAACAAGCAATAACAAAATTGGATCTGAAGGTGATGGTCTAATGTGATGAAGGTGATGAAGTGATCCATATACAGTAGAGCGACGTTTATCCGAATCATTTGGGAAATGGGGTTGTTCGGAAAACTTATTTTTCGGATAACCGATTATGTACGAAAAAATATCCCGTGTTGAAATTTTTCTCCGTTGCGTGTCGCTTCGCGTTGAATTTTCGTCGTTGTTTAGCCTAACGAAGACTATCGTATCGTTAAAAATTATTTTTTTATTTTGTACAAACAAAATAAATATATTGAAAAATATAAAAACAATAAAAAATTATACTTCAGAAGTTAATTTAGTATCAAAAACGTAAAATATTTGAGTAGCC